CGTAGGGACATTCGGGGACAATGAGTACTCAGGCCATGGTGTAAATACATTCAAACACACGTGAAGTCAAATGTGCTGGAGTAGAGCCAGAACAATAGGAAATGTGTCATTGTCCCAATACTCTTTGACACCAATGTACATATGTTTCCATATGACGTGCAACTTTTCAGGAGTACACATGACTCAAAAATACAAATGTATTGTCAATGAGAAGACATCTATTCTTTTGTGTGTCAGAGATCCTGACAAACTCTATTGTTCTATTCTCTGAAGCTGTAAAAAAATATTAAGGCTGGGTACTGTGAAAGATAGGCTGGCCACCTGCCATTCACATCACAAAGAAATAGGCTGACAGATGTATACACAGGCGGTCAGATGGTCAAGTACTTTGTCATAATGCTAAACACGCACTGCATGCACTGCTTAAGCAGGGTTTTTCCTGGCCGAAATTTAGGCGGGGGTGGTACTAAGCCGTACGACCAGGGGGAGGGGGACTAGGCCTACTTTCAGTCCTGACAAATTAACCGTATCTCGTCAGTAACATGAATTAACTTTTTTCCAATATTAGAAGAACTAATGATGTCTGCACTCAAATCAGGTGGTTGCCTCCTTCCGCAGACAGAAAATCTAGGGCGTTCGTATTCTTCTTCTTTTGGCAATTCGGATGGCTCTGCCTGATGCATGGATTACGATACAGTGCCACTACAGCCGCAGTTGCAGTTACAAACGTCAAATCAAAGATCCTCTATACAGATAGGTGGCACGAAATTTGACACAGGTGGCCGCCTCCCAATTCTGAACCCTGTTAAGCCAAACACTGTATCTGCAGCCCCCTAGTCAGTATTGCTGAGCTGTTTATATGTGTTGTTCAACACATGTGCTAAACAGGACACCCAAGTGTTTTTGTCTGGACAAAGAGTTGTACACCTCTACTGTGAAAGAGCTGTGCATAGGAAGTTTATTGAGACAGGAACATTTGTAAATAAACACCATACAAAGTAATTGTTTCTTCAATTAACTGTAGTGAGTGTTGACTGCAATCTTACCCCCATCTCAAACATTTAAGAGACATAAAGATCTTACATTTGTATTTATGGCCACTAGGGGGCACAAAACTCTACAACAAGATGGCTGGCATAGACCTGATTATCACCTCTTTAAGCTTTATTGTTAGCGAACAATTACCTACATACACATTCAGCAGACATGTAGCATTTGAGGTTGAGGGTCATGTTTGTAGCCACCAAACAAAGGTAAGTGTAGTATTTATTCTTCATTTAGATTTTCTTTTGTTTTAGTTTTCTGCCAGCTCCTAAGGGGTAGGTTCAGCAGACACATAGCAACATTAGCTCTCCGGCGTTTGGTTTGTTGTTTGTTAGCTTGTCAAATGTCAGTCAGGTAAATGTTCCACTGTGATCAGTCACTGGTCACTAGGTTTGTCTGTTTGGTGCTAGGGAGTCACAATAAAGCGGGTTTATCACAGTTGTTTCTTGTTGAAAACAGTTACCCACAGGAGCAGAGAGAGTTTGCACAGAGTTGTAAAACTGATCCATTCTGAACCAAAATGAGCTAAAAGAGACTAAAAAGCTCTGTAGAGAAAAAAGAGTTGGGTAATTCTGGGGGGTTCTTGCGTTGGGTGACACATTTGGTTCTTTGTTAATATAAAAGAATATTGTAAAGCATTAAGGATATTGTCTCCTGTGTAAAAATGATTTCACATTACATTGTGTTTTAACTACTAGATTATGTTCATCACCACATTTATGTCCAAAGCAATTATGAATATTTATTTATTCATGGAATTATACCTTTTAAATAACTTAAACCAGCTATTAACCAATCGCATAAGCATAAGTGACCAGAAGGTTACATAGACTGTGTGATATATTACACATGTGAATAATATCCATTTATAAACATGCGGCTCATAATGGTAAACACAATAATTGTAGTGGCTTTAGCAGTTCCCAGCAAATGTCTTCTTTTAATTTTAAATGAAAATTTGATGCTCACTGGGATACTCAACTGGGATCTATCTTTGACTGCAAGTAAAAAAATATTGTTGATAAAAACAAGGCCTCTTATGTCACTGTCAAAAAGCTTTCAGCAGCTGAGTAAAAATGTTTTGAAAATCAATATTTCTTTAAAACCCACATGGCTTAAGTACTATGTCACGTTGTTTGCTTAAACAATGCATGCATTTTGTTGGACATATGGTTGGATATGAACTTAATAACTGTGGATAATCCTGGGACAGATTGTGGTGATATGACATTAGCTGATGACACAGTAATAGTATTTTTAATCTTATGCTCAAGAGATTAATCTATATATATATATATATATGTATATATATATATGAATATATATATAAATGTATGGAAAATATATGTGTGCCTTCACGAGGCCAGAAAGACTATATTCAGTTAGTCTGGTCTTATTTTATAGGAAAAGAAACAAATGATGCTGATAGATAGATAGATAGATAGATAGATAGATAGATAGATAGATAGATAGATAGATAGATAGATAGATAGATAGATAGATAGATAGATAGATATTGGTAATAATAATAATTCATTCATTTTCTACCGCTTATCCTCTAGTAGGGTCGCGGGGGGGCTGGAGCCTATCCCAGCATCCTTTCGGGCGAGAGGCGGGGGACACCCTGGACAGGGTGCCAGTCCATCGCGGGGCAAACACACAGAGACAGACAACCATTCACTCTCACAGTCACACCTATGGTCAATTTAGAGTATTCGTAATAATAATAATAATAAAAATAATAATAACAATAACAGTTCATGATAAATAATAACAACAATAAAAACATTAGTCCACTTAATATCTTTAAAAACAAATAAAGGTAGAATATATTGAATATCCATCAGCTCTCTGTGTCATAATCAAAAGGTGCCTTGGCCTGTGGCAACAAGGTATTTAAATTTCTCTCTGTCTTGATGTAATGGAGCCATTTAATCACTAGGGGGAGACAGAAGATTAAGAACCAGCTTTAACAGAGTCTGTGTTGAGCAGAATATTCAGTTTGTAGTCTGTGCATTATGTACAATCGTTGAATAAACTTGGTTAGAGGAAATAAAGATAGAGCTCACCAAGGAAACGTTAACCATATAAGTGAAGGCAGCCATTTAGGTAAGGATAATGTATCTGCTTAGCTGCTTTAATGTTACAAGGTTTTATTAACAGATGAGCATCTTCAAAGCATCTGTATGGGTTGAGAGAAATTTTCAGTCAATGTTTCAAACTTGTTTTCATTAAGGGAGCAATTGCCCCTCACCAGCCCACCCAGAAGAGTGTTTTCTAAAATTGGGTGCTGTAACTTATTTGCTATTTCACCTGCTGTGAAGCAGATGCAACACAAGCTGCCACACACATTGCTGAAGGGCTGGCAGATTACTTGCAGATGCGCATAGAGTATAGGAAATGTGGACTGCTTCATCAGCTTGTTTCAGTGACTCACGCGTGTTCTTAATGTCTACTCTGCGCAATTAAGCGCAGTTCTGCTGAGTCACCAAGACAGCGCCATGCTTATCCATGTTGAGTTGGAGTCAAGACAAAGACCAAATGGCTTAGTCATGGCTTACAACTGCTGAAATCATAGCTCATCATTGCAAATCACATGCAATTGCTTGACTGACCAGACTGATGAAAGGTAGAGGAAAATAAAGGAAACACATCAGAGAAAAAATAGAGTTGGTTCAGAGAGGAAGTTATTCAAAATGTTGTCTTGTTGCCTGAAAATAATGGGAAAATAATTCAAATTGAGGCAGATAGAAACTAACAAACTGAGATCCTGCTCGTTGGCACAGATCCTTATCAAACTTTACATGTGGAGGACATTCTTTTTCCAAAGCACCATACCATTAGCGGTATAGAATGGGTAGGCCTGTTGTGAATCGGACTACTGACCTAAACAGTGATGCTGTTCAAATTGTTACAGAGAATTAACAGTTAACGTCTTAGCCAATAATGTTCAAAATGTTCTTTCTCTTAAAGTCTTTCTCTTATGAAACTCCCAGTATGGTGCATCAAGTATTTTGGTTTTGGTGTCTATGGCCAATAATGATTTAGCTTTATCAGAGCCTACTGTGCTGCCACCTCATTTAATGCCTGCTGGAGGGAAACTTTGGGCTAGCCACATCTTCAGAGAACATCATGTATCATGCCACAACCCAGAACTGTCATGGAGTTGGAGTCATTTTCATCTGCTATTCCAAGGCAAAACCAGCCTCAATGTTTTTTTGTTTTTTTTTTATTGTGCGTTTAATTTTCTTTGATGATAATATTTTGGCTAGAACTAAGAGTCTAAATAATTCTCTTTGTTTTAAGGTGAGATGTTCCACAGAAACTTGTTAAGAATATTAGGTTTCTTTACTCTGTTAACATCACATCTATTGTAAAGCATGTTTTCTGTCAGCAGAATTCACCCTGAAGACGATTTGTGGATTTCACGCCTGATATGAACTCTATCCACTGGAAAGGCAGCTCAGTATTACCAGCCTTGGAAGCATTATTGATTCTATTTTCTTCATGCCATAACGTCTGTATATCAGTGCAGTGATTTTGTGTCTGTTGGGCACCCTGCAAATTAGATCTGTGATCTGAGGCCGGGCGGTTCAATGCACTTGAGATAAATAAATAAATAAATGTATCAAAACTTAATTATGTGTGACTCAACCGCACACAGTTCATTAATGGAGGGACTTAACAAGAAGCTCTTTGAACTTTAAGTGTGTGTGTCAACACCGTTGCTAATCGTATCACCCTCAATTAACTTTACTTCTACTGGATAAACCTCTTTGGAGGGGGACAAAGTAGAGGGAGAGGGAGAGAGAGAGAGCGTGTGTGTGTGTGTGTGTGTGTGTGTGTGTGTGTGTGTGTGTGTGTGTGTGTGTGTGTGTGTGTGTGTGTGTGTGTGTGTGTGAGTGAGTGAGTGAGTTGAGTGAGTGAGTGAGTGAGTGAGTGTGAGTGTGTGCCCCCTACTCAGCCCTCCACCCCCTATCTCTCTACAGGACTGCCAGCCCGTCTAGAGTTATTCCAGGAATGCGTTGAACATGGCTGCCGCGATGAAGGAGCAGAAAACGGGACTGCTAGAACTTCGTGTGACCGTGGACCGCTGGATCCGGGTGTTGGCCACGCTTACCGAGGACACGCTCACGGTAAATCCTGGCGAGGTTCCCGAGGAGCCCACGAAGCCCAGTCCCGCCGGTGCTATCAACGGAGACCCCCCGAACCTCAGCTCGTCCCCGGTCCCGGAAACCATCACCAACGTGAAACGCACTGTGCGAGTTACCAAGCAAGATGTTGGAGGACTCGGAATCAGTATCAAAGGTAAGGCAGAATTAAAGAAGTAATATCATCAATGGCGAGTTACTGTCAGTTAACATAAGTTTCGGCGAGGAGTATGAGTGCACTTTCTGTCAAGGACGCTGAAAAAACAATCGTCGACTTGTCAGTTAACTTAGCTAACTTATAACTGACCGTTTGTCAAAACCCTACAAACATGAGGCAACTTAAACTTTTCTAGTACGTTTTGTCAGTACAAGTCACTCGTCGTATTTTAACTCAAATTTAATACATTTAGGACTCTTGTTTGTACGGGGAAAAATGACAGCTCAAGCTGTGCTTTATCTCAGTGGGGAGCCATTTCGGTGTCCCAGAGTCACAGGAGATGGTAATTAGCTACTGTCGTGTAACTTCAGGCTAGGTGTTTGACAGTGTAGCCTCGCGCACACGATCCTAATAAACGGTGACACACAAGCTAACGTGGTTAAGTTAATGACAGGAGTAAAATACTTGCTACTTTATAATACAAAGTAATTGTTTTAGGGGAGAAAATTTTCTACAATTTCCTCGATAGGTTACTTATAGCTTATTTTATAAACACCTGTTTTAACAAATGGAGGTCTCTATAGAACTTCTAATAATTGTCAATAATGGGCTAAACTACGATATACCTCATTTTGATTTCTTCCCTTAGATCTATTTATGAGTCATACTGACACTTAAAACCAGAAGTTAACATGTTAAATTGATAACACCTCAATTTTAATTTTATTTTGAGCCATATATCTGAAGGGTGCTCATACTTGCAGTAAAAGCAGAATTGTCATGTCACTAAAGGGTATAGGTGTGAGGTTTGATTAAGTGCTGCATAGCTGAAAAGAGAGGCAAAGAAAAAAAAGAGTAAATCCATCACTGTTTCTTCATACGATAAACTAGATTGACTGACTATAAAATCCTTTTTGCTGATTCACTTTGTCTCTCTGAGCAAAAACAAGCAGCTCAAATGCATATGCAGCTGCACATCAAGGTTACACCAGCATTGCTCTTATAACCTCTCAATGGGAAAAAGGTTGTAACCTCACCATATCTTACAAGCCAGGCTTACATACCTGTGTTGTGTACTGTGCAGCTGATAAAAGCCTTTTCCTTGTCCTGTTTCCTCGACCTGCAGCAACAGGCTTTTATCTCATTTGCGATCTCAGTGTGAAGAGGACTAGGAGGTTTGAGCATTGGGAAACTACGTAAATACAAAGGATAGTGATATGCAGGGATAATGCAGTCTAAACAAAGTTTTGATTTTATTTCTTTGAGGAGACCAACATTGTTCACAATTTTTTTTTCTTCTCAGATTTGGTTGAACCGAATATATTGAAGACCACAGATTTTACACATCAATTTTTACACTGCTTGTTATCTTTATGATGTCTTTTGCATCTTTATATATCACTAATGATTCATGGTCATTTTAATCTTCCAGTGTCCCATATTAGGGTTTCATCTCCTTGTCTTAAACTAGCCTTGTTTGGGATTATTATGATGGTGAAGTTGTGATTTGTCTGCACCACTCACTTTGGGTTGTGATTTGTGCACCATCACAACGAACATCAAGGCAGTTAATGGTGCGGTGAATCGCGGACCATGTATTCTGATGTGTCTGTTGCGTTGTGTTTGAACTTACATTCTCTGTGAATTAAATCCTCCACCTCCTGACAGGTTTGCAGTGTACATGTATTGACAGGTTATCACTTGGCCACTCAGCAATGCACAGGCTCAACTTGATGGACAGCTGTAGACTTGCTCCGTTGTCATGTTGCAAAGATGGTTCATCATTATAACCACTGGTGACATGTTAATTTTAGTTCCTCCATAGTTGCCATCACCAACAACAACAAAGCCAGCCCCTAATGACATAAATGTAATGCCCATCTCTGTGGAAATGGGTGGCTTTGAAAATCAGACAGCATGTTATTAAAACAAAATCATAGCTGGCACCCCAGTGGCTTGACACTGTTGTGATGCTGGTTGTTCAAAGGCTGCGACGAAGCGAGGGAGGAAGAAGGGTGTAGCAGAGGGATAGAAAGAGCAAGGCAAAAGCACAATGAGCAAGTCATAAATGAAACGGGACACAGCATAAGCCAAAGGGGTCAATAAGAAAGAAAGAAAGAAAGAAAGAAAGAAAGAAAGAAAGAAGGACAGAAGAAAAGAAAAAGTGTAATGCAAATGAAAGAACATGGCAAAAGTTGTTGTGGGCTAGCTGACACCACATTATGAACAGCTGAGAGGAGCAGTCCAGAGCAGGCAGTTGTCATTGGCCAAAGATGAAAGCTATGTGGCTGGGAGTGGAGTACTCCACTAGTGTTAATTTTAGGGAGCCCACCCTGGCCTGCAGAAAAGCATGGAGGCAGTCAACCTTTACTCTCACATGTCTAAATTTAAGAGGAGAGCCTAGGAAATGAGGCTCCAGGTCTGTAGACAGGCCCACTGGTCAGAGGAGAGAGGAGGAATATGCTTATGCAGGACAGGATTTTTTTCCTGAGCCACTTGGGTGTGAGCTTGCTGGGTTTTGCCACAATGATTTTGAGTTTGCAGCTTTTGAAAAGGATCACAGAGACATTTTTTTTATTTAAAAGCTTCATTAACACTGTTTTAAGTGTCTCAGTGTGTTTTGTCTCACTTCTGTAGCACTTGATGCAAGTTGGAAATCAATGCTCTAAGTTTTAGGACATATATTATGAAACCATTCTTCGGTGCCTCAAGCTCTTTTGTCACAGACCAGCTCAGATGCTCACCTAGACAATATTTTTCTCAGTTAACAAAGCTCAGGTGCGGTATTATGTAACAAACCCATTATTAAAAACATATTCTCTCCTTACATGGCTCTGCACATTCATCAGGAATATGTAACCACATTATTTTGTTTTGTGTTAAATCATTTTTGTTTTGTGTTGTTTGTTGCAGTGTTCATTAGCAGCGCATGCAACTCAGCTGAGGAAGTTTGATGAAGTCAAGTGCTGATCATGCTGAAACCTTTGAAAGGAGCATTATCACCACAAACACATTGTTGGCACAAAACTACCTAATTAGGTACATGTCAGTATTGTATAACCCAGTACCATTCATTTACCTGTCATCGGTAGCTCCAGTGGTTCCACCCCACCTCCGCCACCACCACCCTCCTGTCAAATGAGTGACAGGCTGCCAGCTGGAGGGTGTTGAATTGTGTTTGACAGGAAAAGTTGGAGGAAGAAAGGCAGGGATGGGAAGGGAATATGGGAGGATTAAGGGTTGTGTAAGAGTGGCAGACATATTGACGGTGTTTCTCCTACAATATGCCAACGATGTTTGCTCAGCAGACATGTGAATAAGAGGTATTTGAGATTAGAAGTGAACCTGAAAGTATGTGAAGAAAGGAGGAGAAATTGAAAGGAGATATAAAGGTTAATGTATATGTAGAAGTAGACAATGAAAAAAATCTTCTTCATTTAAATCAAGTCTTCAACTTTGTCTCCTTATCGATTCAACATCTGCTATCAACGTACCTACATACTTTTGGTGCTGATGCCATGTCATTTTGACACCTGTGTCACTATCAGTCTCTGGCTAACTAAAAAGAAACAAGGCTGTCCTTTTCCTTCTTGTCCAACCATTTACTTTTAATAGTCTGGACATTCTTCGCATAGATTACCACCATTCATCAAGTAAAAGGACATAGAACTGCAGTTGGTGAAGTGGGGAGTGCTGTGGTGATCACTCCATTAGCACGGGTTTGGTACATGAGATGTCAGTTTTAATGTGGCTGAGAGGTCTCTGACCATATCCTGCTCTGGCATGTCATTGTTGAAGTCTGCAAGATTCTACATCTACTCTGCTTATGAGTTTTCATTCCAGCAGTTTTGTTTGGGCCATTTTTAAATGTTCAGTCTTCAATTAAGTGCAAATCATTTACTTATTTTACAGTAAATTCTAAAAAATACTTGAATTCAGCTGAAGCTGTCCTGCCCAATAGACCCAGTAGTGAATAATTGCTGTTGGCGATACATTTAATAAGTCTGAGGTTTGTGTATTGGTAGTAGTACAGTGAATAGAGGTCACAGTAATTCACTGCAGTTTCTATGGCGGTGCAAATTGGGGGCAAAGGTAACCTAAAGGATAGAGTGGCAACTTGTGACTGCCTGGAAGGTATTCAAATTTAATCCTCAGCTGGGAAAGTTTGGATGGGGGTGAGTCAGCAGGACACAGACTATTTGAATTGACATTCAGAAACACATATTAATATGTTTCCATGTTAATTGTGTTAGATACTGAACAATTATTTGCCAACAAATACAACATCCATCAGCTATGGTTGTAAGCCTAATCCGTGACATGATTTTTGTGGCAGCTCTTGTTTGGCAATGTGGTGGGCTGTGTTTAGTTTTAATGTTTTTCTGTTTCTTATACTGGTAGATGAATGGCTCCAAAAAGCTTCCAGAATTGGCGTGGCATGTAATCACTGCATATGTCCTTGAGTTATCTTTTTTTTTTTATCCTTGATACTGTTATTGTTCCCGAGGGTGCTTCATGTGTACAGTGTGTGGCCAGAGCAGCAAACCTAGTTTTCCACACAGCTATCTAGAATAACCTTCATGTATATGCATGGCAATTCCTGTCACTGAATGTCATCCATGTAAAATGTGTGATTCATTCATGTTGGTGAAAAAAAACATTTAGACTTTACTTTTGCACAAGTGTACCAACAAGTCCTCCAACCCAAACACCCATATACTATACTGTACTATCCTCCTGAAATAGTGCCTACATCACAGATATACCAGATCTTTGTCATCATGGTTACTATAATAAACACACGGTTAAGGTTATAGAATGGTCACGGTTTGGTTACATTTAGGCATAAAAACTACTTGGTTAGGTTTAGGAAAAAATTGTGGTTTGGGCTAAAGTGATCGCTTTATTAAAGTTAGAGAGACCTTTGTTGTCATGGTTATAATAATAAACACACGGTTACGGTAGGGGAAAAGTCATGGTTTAAAGAAACAGTGATGACAATTGGTTTCCAATGGGAAATGAACACTAAAAACTGAAACTATTGGCAGTCCACTGTGACTGAATGAATGTAACAAATAGCGGAAATGCTGACATTTATAATTACACTGACAAAGAAAGTGTATTTAATGTGGATTACGTGGAACTTTGCTGTTTTTATTAATTCACCTCGTCTGACAGTCATAGTATCTACAGCTGTACGCACACTATAGACACTTTATTCGGTCCAGTATTAGTACACTTCGATTGCATGAGGCGTGCTTTTTCAGTTCTTTTTATGGGTGTCCACAATCATTATCAGTCATGGGAAAATATGCAAATTTTGTTTATGTCCCTGTGCCTATTTCCAGTGCAATTATTAAAGATTCAAAGAAGTGATTCAAGTTCATGATTTTGACAGATATTCAGAGTAATTAAAATTTTGATGCCATATATTGATGACATCACCACCAGCATTTATGAAGGTTTCTCTTCATCTCATCTCCACTTTGAATATTTTATCAGCACATCATGATCCAGAGACTTAGTGCGGTGCAGTAAACAACTATCTGATGCCATGGAGCGGTCAAGTAGCTGCTAAATCCCTCTATCTAAAATGTGATCAACATGCATAATATGAGCATGTAAGCTCAAACCTGGTATTTCTTTATTAAGAGCACTACACTGTGGCCTCCAAAGGAAGATACATGTGTTAAATCCCAAGGAATCACCCAGAGGAAGCAACCTGTGGAAGATGTATTTAGAATTAATTAAATGCAATCCTCTTTTGGATAATTTCTCACAAGCCTGAAGGCCAGAGTCCAAGTGCCAGCTGATATTAATGACGATATTTCTCATGAAGAGTGGAAGCCCACAGCAAGAGGCAGATCCATCAGCTTTTGAGCTGACCTTCACTTAACGAGCGAGAAAGGGAGGAAGAGATGGGAAACTGCAGAAGTTAGTACATGAGGGTAATCGCTGCTGTTTGCGTCTGTCCTCGTATGCTCTTTTAACTTCACTTAGCAGTTTAAGTGACTAAAGTTTAGTTAAATGCTGAAATATGAGGAGTGCAGTGGTTGGTATCAAAATAGGTTTAACATCAAGGCTGTTTTACTACCCAGCCTCTCAGTTTCCCAACTGTGTTGCTAAATTATGTACATGTGGTATTTTCTTAGCATAGCTACTTGCACCTTGTATATATGCAGTAAGTGGTTAAGAACTTAATTCCAAGCTGTTTGTAAAGCTGATCAGGGGTCAAAAGTTTGAGTGTCATGTTTGCACTGTGTAAGTGTGAATGTCTATTGTTGCCAGACACATGCAACAATATGAAACAGCAGGTTCTTAAGACAATTATAAGATGAAACAGATGAACATCATTTTTTCCTCTTTGTAATGCAGGAGGGAGGGAGAACAAGATGCCAATCCTCATCTCCAAGATTTTTAAGGGTCTGGCTGCTGACCAGACTGAGGCGCTTTATGTTGGTGACGCCATACTGTCTGTCAATGGTTATGACTTACGGGAGGCCACACATGATGAAGCTGTGCAAGCGCTGAAGAAAACTGGCAAAGAAGTCATCCTTGAAGGTAAGATATTTTTCATTCAGAAAAAAAAGGAATCCAGAGTAAATCTTTCTCCTTTGTAAGGTGCAGTGTTTCTTTCTATTTTGTCTCTGCTTTGCTGACAAGATTTTCTCCAGAGTGACGGGAGACTGGGAGTTAACTACAAGACGCACTTTTAAAATATGCCCCATCTATCTCTGTTGCATGATAAAGAACCACTTCATACACGTCTTTTTAACAATATAATACTCAAAATTCTTATCTGTCATGAAAAAGATAAAAAAAACTTCATCTACTCTGTCTACACTCCACAGCTCCGAATAGACATATAGATGGAAACAATGGGAACTTTTGATACCTTGATATGTTTTGATACATTTCTCAAACACTTTGGTTGATATTTTTCCTTAAGGGGTCACACGTGATGAGCTGAGAGAGACAATCCATTAAATCATACTTTGATCAGACTTCCATGGAAACATCCAAATAATGAGTTGAACTGAAAGAGCAAGAGAAATCCAGAGACTCAAGAATTCAAGAATATTGTTGTGGCTCACACCTCTGAGCACCACAGCATGCTAATAAGCAGTCTTCCTGAACATCAAACACTCATAGACAGTACTTTAAGTTCACGTTGGAACTGAGAACAATGGAGAATATATGGGGTAAGACCTGCTGTGCATAGGAAGGTTTGCAGGGGAGTCAGCAGGTGTTTGCAGGTGTTTTTCTTCCCTCAGAGCTAATGTACTGTGTATCTCTGTGTGCTTTTCTGTCTCAGCTGTACAGTTTAGTCAGTTGCTGGGTGTGTTTGTGCATGTATATGAGTGATTGTGTGCACACATTTGCCTAAAAGTATCAGTCTGTGTGCATGTGTGCAACAGCATGGTGATTCTGTGATTTGATCTTCAGTTATAAAGACAGGGAAAAGGGATTAAAAACGGTCTTTCCTCTTGCCAACTGATTGCATCACAAAAATTCTGCTTCTATCTTCAAGCTGACTTTGAGTCACTGGGTGTAAATCTACTTGTTACTAAAAAGACAAAGGCTGAGTGATGATTTATACAGGATGTTACCACTCAAAGAGAATATGTTTTATATTATCAGGAACCATAAAGCTTGACACATTTTATGTTTTACTTTTATCATTCCTTCTGTTGCTCTATATGTTCTCTGTGTGTCGAAGAGAGTGTGTTTTGAGAAAGAGAGATTCTGCTCATAGTCTAACAGTCGGGTTCAGTGATATGTGTCAAACAGAGGCTTCAAATTATAGATGCTATCAACGCTTGCTTCCAGATGAAAACCTAGTATGTCCAAAACTTTCCTCAGAAACTAGGATAAAGAGACACTGGCAGTTATTTATTTTAAAAACTAATAATTATTTGGCTTTAAACAGGTTCAATAAGTTGTATGAAATAATAATTGCGCAGTGCATGAAAAATTACATGAACTTTCCATTTGAGAAAATTAATGTAAAAAATAGGGAACACTAAAACCAGAGTTACCAGTTTTCCGTGTGGCAGCATTTTTGTGGGAGAGCTAGCACAGTGGGCTAGCGTCAGTAACTTCAGTCAGCGGAGCAGATACAGCTGGAGCTACAGCCAGGGGAAATCATTGCAAATCCCCCTGCCTTACTTGTCCACAGTCAGGCAGAAAAGTGTTGATATCAGACGGCTCAACCAGCGCGGCTCTGTGATCCGTCATGTCAGGAATCATTTCATGGGTTTCCTTCCTCCCACCCCTGAGGACCTGATAGAGGAGTGAAGAGAGGAAAGAGGCTTGAAGGCTCGCTGATGGGAGAGCGTTGGATGTGTGTGTGCGCACGTGCATGTGTGTGTGTATTTTTTGATGCTCTGTGATTCCTGTGCTTGTGTTTGTGTGTGAATCTCTGTCTGACCTGGAGATGGGAGGACCACGGGACGCACTTGTGCTGCGAGACACTTTAGAGTATTTTTAGGGAACAGAGGAAATAAAGAATGAAAGTTTTTGGTCAACACTTCAGGGCTCTGAGCTTTCCAGCTGCAGTTTTTAAGATTCAAATTTTATTTCAAGGCTGTTTGTACATCGTAAAAAATCATGTGAATACATATGACATGAAGTTCAAGTGCAATGCTTATTTTCGTTTTGGCATTTTACCAAGAGCCTGAGAAACACAGTCAGAAACAAACTCCTTCTTGGCATCACTACAGTGTTAAAGGTCAGAGTAGTCTTTTCTTACATGTGCACAGCAACAAATAAGCCACCACTGCTGTGCTCAAGGCAGTTTTCACCGCTCTGTGAAATTCATAACAAAGACAGAGATCAAGGGGAAACTGCCTCCATCAAATTAAAACATCTTGAATATATGAACAGTATACTTGAATCTGTCAGATAAGTACTTTCACAACATTTTAAGGGAGTTACAATAGAACCCTGGTTGTGCTATTGGCAGATTTTTTTCCTTTTTGACTTCATTGGAAGTCAAGTGAATAGATTTCTGCTCACCTTAGATTAATGCAATTTTTATTGTTGCAGCGGTACATGCAAGGCATTAATGCCGAGCTCTGCAGTATAATCAAAGTGAAGAATGCTTTCCAGGATACGAGAGATTTCTTTCAGTGTGTGTTTGCACTGGCTAAAAGGTCAAAATCATCTTCATGCATAAGATGAAAACATTAGAAATCGCTTATTAGATGGTTTTCATAAGGGTCAAGAGTTTCCAGCCTTGCTTATATGGCACCAAATTGTTTTTCCATTGTTCACTTTATAGATTATTAATAAATCATATGAATTTAATGTCCCGCACAGTTGCTTAGCAGCCAACAGCAGAAGAAAAGGGGCAGCAATGGTCATCTCCTAGGTGTGATTGTGGATGTGTGTAAAACCTTCATCTTCCTGCAAACCTCAAACCATAAATAAGAATTTATACAAAGTCAATCTGTCTGCTTAAAAAAAAAAAATTAGGGCCATTGTGTATGCTCCCAATAGGATACTCTTCCTCTGTTCTTCTTCCTCTGTTGTACCTTACATCAAAATGGTGATGGAATAATCAATGTGTGTGTATGTGTGAGAGGAACAGTAAACACATGAGAGGGTCAGATAAATATAAGAGACCAGATGAAACCATAAAACCCCTGCCTTCATTTCCTCCCTTTACAGCCTCACTGTGTGTGTGTGTGTGTACCTGTGTGTGTGCATGTGTGGGTGTGTGTATGTGTTGATAGAGTGAAATCTACTCCACCTATATGTGTGTGTGAGGATAAAGGGAGAAGGATGGAGAAGAGAGGTTCATAGGACAGCTCCACATTTCTCCAGTCACACACACCTTATTATCACTCCTGAATGTGCCTTTATTATAGAGTCATGGAGTTTCTGCCACAATAAATGGGAGATTTATGTATCAATTTTGTAAAATGTTGAGTGTGAGAACGTCATGAAATACTTAGACAGGGCTTTATGGGGCAAAAATGAACGAATGTGAAATGAGGACAGAATTAAAAGACTGCAGTCATGTATGAAGCAGCTCTAAAGAGACTGGATGAGGGACGTAGCACTGGTCTCTGAACTGTCCCACTGCCTTCTACCCTATTTTAATTTGGATTCTACTCTCACTGAAAACACATCCATCATTGCCACCTGCTTGCCTGCCAAGACAGGGCTCATTCCACTACTGTATGAAGAAACCAAGGAGCTAAGAAACTGTGTGTGTAAGTTTGTGTGTATGTGTCTGTGCACGCATGCGTGCATGCTTGAAAGAAAATGGTGGGGGGTAGGGATAGTTCAGTGGTAAAGCTGTTCCCTGGGCAACCAAGGTCTGACAGAAAAGCGCACACACAAAGTAAGTATACAACCACATACTACACATACTTACATCCATGAAAACGTACACACACGCACAACATGTGACGCAGGGAGGAAGGATAAATGGGCTGCAGAGTACAGGTCAAGACACCGAGTTAAGTGTGAATGTGGGGGCAGTTAGAGTGTGTCTGCATGTGAACTCACTCATAATGAGCAGCTGGATGTCAGTGTGCGTATGTGTGAGTGCTGTCCATGTATCTCAGGAGTAGAAGTGTTGGTACACCATGTTTCGTAGTGCAGCAGAAGAATGTAATGCTCTCTCATCAAAAGTGATAGACAAGCAAAAGGGCACTTACTGACTGAACAGATGAGCTGCTGCAATAAATGGTGAACTCCTGAAAACAAAGAGCAAAAAAATCCCCAAAGTTATTTCTGACTTTCTGTTGTAGTTCATCCATACCAACTCCCACCCATGTCCATGTTTCATGTGGCCCATATATAGGACAGTCACCGATGGACAGGACAATTTAGCCAGCACAAACGAATAAATAATCATGACAGAGGTTCCAGGGGATTGAGCCGGTGAAGCTGATTTTGAGATCCATGATCTTGATGAGATGCAATCCTGTGTTTCATAATTGAATACCAGAGTGAGAAAAATAATGTGATCACCCAGATGTGCCTTAATGAAGGCTCAAGCAATTGATCTCTAATTAGCATGAATAAGATTTTATAGTACGGATTCTGTAATCTTGAAAGACTGAAATTGTTTAAGAATATTTCATATTAGCCCATGTGAGGAGGTCTTCCCACTTGGCTCCTAAAAACACAATTTAAAAAGTACATTTTGACCCAGGTCTCACGAGAAATTTTGACGGTCTTGTTCCATGAGTTTAGGTCAATTTTTATACTTGATGAGGGTATTAGCTTAATGTCAGCCTAAGGTTAATCAGAATTTACTGGCATATCCACAGGCACACAATTTTCTGTGCCTCTGTACGAATGTGTGTTTGCACAAGAGAGAATGAGGGGACGGAGTGAAACTAGTTCACTCTGCCAAGACATTTCTGGACACTGCTGGTTCTTTCTACCCTGTCCCTTTCATTAAGGTAGTTGTGCTCAGGCTCAGCGCACACACACACGGATTAAGTAGGCTTAGTTATGGAAGCTGTACGGTTGCATGCTTTCCCTTGTCTAGAGCTTCCTTTAGGAGGGAGAAGTGTTTTGGACATATGTTGTTAGCTGTA